TGGCCACCAGTTTAGAGGGCTTAAATCAGTGGTTCCCAAACTTTTCCTAGTTGCGGCGCCCTTTGTCAATTGAAATTTTTCCATGGTGCCCTACCTTAAGTATGACTATTCGTAAGTAAGAGATAAAAATAAATAAAACTCGTGTATCTTCATTATTTTTTTACATTATTAACATTAAATTAATATTTAATAATTAATGTGATGGATGAGCCTGCTAATCACTGCACATTTTCTCTAATCAAAGCTTTTACAATATTTCGCGGCGCCCCTGTAAAGAGGCGCACAGTTTGGGAATTACTGGCTTAATTGAAGCTATTTTATCCGCCTGGATAGGTCACCTTAGTCTCACTTTTGGATCCAAAGCCTATACCTTTCCAACTTCATGGCAGGCGCGCATGCGTACATGGGGATCATTGGTGAAGTAGGGCCGAATCTGCTCTGGGATACTAATAAGGCAACAAAAGATATTTTTGTAGAAACAATTCTAGGTAGGCGAGTGTCAAGAAGACCATCGGAGCGAAATTTACAACAGCTACTCTTCCAGCAGGTCACCCAAAGTCAAAGGTGATCATGCTACAATAATGCACGGTGAGTGCACAAGTGGTTGTCTGGCTGGGCGACATTTTTCACAAACTGTTGTGGTGACTCTTCTTGTACGTCAGAATCAGTCTCTCCAAAAGGTGATGATTGATTCCTATCTTTGATTTTACTATAAGGTTCATGTCGAAGCAGTCCACGGAACATCCTCCTTCAGATTGGATAAATCTGAAAGTTCTAGTTAGATATTTATTTGTTTCTTTTTATGCTAATCTTAAGGCGTGTTTGAGTGTGTTTGCAGCTGCATGTGTTTAACTCAGAGTACAAAACAACTAGTCATAATTCCGATTAATTTAAATAGAATCTTGCATCCCTCCATATACCTCAAAGTTTAACGATACATTTGACAGCATGATTGAACGAATCCAGTTATTCTTCCTATTATATACAAATAAAAATAAAGGTTTTACGGAATTTCTTGGCTTACACAACTTATATATCTGATTTACGCTGGATTTCACTCAATCAGCCTAAAAAGAACATTGGATTACCGATGGAAAGGGAAGAGAATAAGACCTTAACTTTTCTGGATGTTCTCATCATTAGAGAAAAGGGTAATTTAGAAAGAGATGTTTATAGGAAGCCAACATATATTGGCCCTTTGCTTAATTTTCTTTCCAACCATAGTTACAAGACTAAGGTTGGAATTTTGGAGTCAATGATTCTTAAAAATATGAGGCTATCGGATAGCAGACATTGGACTAAAGAGTTGGAACGGCTAAAAAATGTATTCCTTGAAACAATTATCCTTTAGGCCTTATTGAGAATTATATCTCTCTACTGAGGAATACATTTTTAGGCGGAGACCATTTAGTCAAAGCGACACGGAATGAGACCTTTACCCGTGTCCTAATTTTGCCATTATGTTTTCTCTTTAAAAAAGATAGGCGAATTAGTGAAGAAGTGGGGCATAAAAACAGTGTTCAAAGAAACCCTCACACTTTCT